CAATTCTTTCTGAAACCAGGGCATACTGAGACGCTTAAAGCTCTTCTTGCTGGAAAGGACGTTTTTTCAATGTTCAATCCTTAGAAAAATTTCTGACTGCCGGTCATTTACCTATCTGAGAACCGTGACCGGCAGCACACCGCACAGTGTCAACTTCCATGGCTCTGAATTCTGAGCCCAGTGTAAATCGAGCGTTAGACATGAGATTTTTGAATCACTTCGCGATCGCTGAAGGCAATTTATAATTGGAAGCACACAGAGAGAAAAATTCGTTCGCGATGGTACCTCTACCTTTCCTAAGTATCTTCTGAGGAGTTTCGTTTGTGAGACTCATCCGAACTGAGACATTTCACAGATTTCCAGTTCACAGTGCCCTTCGAAATTTGAGATAGTTCAGAGGTCTTGACATTACCCGAGCGTTGCGACGACATGAAAATTGACTGGTAATTAAGATGAGGAATGCCATTGGTTACATCTAATTTAATCTAATTGAGGTTAAAAAAAAAAAAAGCAGAAGACTGATGAGAAGAAGGAGGAATGGCAACTAAAAGATTAATGATGATAATAGGACCAAGTGGAGTCCAATTCTGTCTGTAATCGTACGAGTGATTAACAAAATCGGACGACCGCGAAGCGGGAGTCCGATTTATTAATCACAAGTATGATTACAGACAGAATTGGGCGACAAGAAGTCCTATTACCAATTTATCATAACCATTTCAATTTCCGAGAAAACAAATATACCTACAACAAATATCTGCAGTGGAGACAATGTCTTTATTTAAAAATTCCTCCATTTTGGAAATTCTCTAGTTTTTCTTTGGATAAGTGGTTGTTGCTATGGTTATTTTGATCATTTCTGTGATTGGTGGATTAGCTGAGTGGACTTAGTATGATTGGCTGCTTCAACTGTCTGATTACAGGTGTCCGATTACGGCCAACAGTCCGATTACAGAATGATTAGTGAAAAATGAAGCTGCGAATGCACCAACAATATTTGAGGAATTTGGAATGGTTATGATTAATTGTGTAATCAAATACAGAAATCTTAAAAGCAGTATTTTGGCTCACCCAAATAAAACCAATGATCCCCCACAAAGAACAAGCCCTGAGTAGAGAACAAACCCAGGACCATATTTTGGTATCTGCAAGTAATTGCTCATCAGTAAGTGATTGTGAAAAATCTTGGAATACAATTATTGATTCAAGCAGAAAACTACACATAATTAAGTTGGGGCCATGTGGTTCTCATATATCATTATGTTAACCCTTTACACCCCAACATCAGTTACCATATTCTCTGAAGTGTTTTCTCTAGATTCATCTGGTACTGAAAAGGAGAATTTATCAATCAAAGCTTCTCGGGTTGGTAATCGTTTCATTTATTCTTATGATGTTAAAAAATGACTCATCAGTATTACTGTATTGTCACTATTAGGATTTAAGGGTTTCAGGATGCAAAATGTACAATTATCATTGACAATGAAATATTATTTGTTCAAGCAAAGTAATCGGCTGTAAAATGAAAGTAAACTGTTTCAGATTCTGCCTTGTTGAGCCTATTCCGAT